ATTTTAAAAAGATAATGTATTAATCCTATCTGCATTACAGTTATTTTAAAAATTAGATTGAAAAAGTTTGAAGAAGGATATTTTACCCAGAAGTACTGGAAGTTGGATTAGCACATGCTTAATCAGTTTCTTCAGAACTTTAAGTTTGGATATGGTTTAAAGTTCACCGTATAAGCATTTGTCAAATAAAACTATTGTAACTTTTGAATTATAAAATCACACACAAAAAAAATTGGTAAGAATGATTATATTCTATGAAGGATGCAATCCTATGTAGACTTTTAAGAATTGTAAAGAGTTTCACAGAAGTATAATAACATTCAGTCTGATATGCTGCAAGGATTTTTTCTCCCAACCATCTAGATATTATTGGTATGATTTCTGCACAACCAATCCATCCATACAGTTCCAAAATTGTTGCAATATTTTCAGGATCAGACTCAATAAGATTAGTAAGAGTTAAAGGTTTAAATATATTTCCTTTTATTTACAATAGGCATTCTATATTCACTGAATATTCACAGATAGAAGCAAGGAAAAGGGTGCATGTAGCTCCTTATATATACAATGGGTGGAGCTATATGTGGGAGTGGTGAATTATGAATACATTAAGAAGTGAAGAATAAGTTAACCCCTGATACCCCGTTCATATACTATTTACACATTAGAGAATAAGGCATTTACATCTGACAAAAATTATAGATGATTAAATAATAGGGGCAGCACATGGTTGCAAGAAAATGTTGGTGTTCCTGCATGTAACTCGTAAATGTAAATACAGATTATTTATATTTTTCACTAAACTGTTAGCATCACCATTTACGGTTTTTCTTCTGAACATTTCCTAGATGTGTGAGTGATCGCCATTATTCTGTTACGATTGCTGATAAACTTCATATTGTGTGTTGTGTTGTATTGTATCATGTATTATTTGCTGGCCAAATTTAAAGTACCTTTCTAGGTACAGTGACATGTAGACAAGAGTGGCACAGTCCTTTATTTCAATAAAAATAAAATCAGCATGCATGGTATTCACTATAGTTTGATCTTTGAGGGGCCTTGAAGAAATCTCTTTAGGCCCTAGTCTTTCCCCATAGTGCTGGTAAAGAGATTATAGGCCTAGTATATTCAGAGAAAAATGCCAGGCCTCTGGGCCTAGCATACTAATCCATACAAAGGATAACAGAAGCCTAATTAATTCTCATGTCTCAGAATCTGATAACAGCCCCGCACACAGGCAAGTCCATAAGGGCTTAATGAGTTTAATCGACTGCACTTGATGATTTTATTTGAAACCCTGTGCCACAAATTAAACTATTAAAAATGCACTTGAACTTGATTGGCAGCTGTAATCCTAACAAAGTCTATTTAATCCATTGAGTCAGAGAGTGTAACTTAAATACAACTTTTTTTTTTTTACGCATTAAAGAAAGAGGTAGGGTATTCTGTGTTCCAGGAAGCCTGCTCATTTTATAATGGCAGATTAGGTGAATTTGGAGAAGCAAGCAACGGAGCAATTAGTTGGAAATGAGGAGGATCACCTAAGACATGAAGGTCATTGCAGCTACTCGGCTAAAGCAAGGGAATACTCTGTATTGAAGAGTATTGATATATATAAGGTGCTGGAGGCAGACAATCACTTTAGTGACGACAACAAATGAATCATTTCACACAGCAGGCAATGGTAAACCATTCCAGTATTTTACAAAGAAAACCAGATGGGGAGGCAAGATAGAACAAATGTTGATACAGTGACAAACGATAAGCTGCTCAGGTCAGATGGCCCTCAACATGATCCTGAAGAAGAGCTGAGGATCTTTCAGAGAACTGATGGAGTCTATGATTTGGTTAAATTAAAGCCTTTTGGACATCTGCATGCTGATATTACCATGCAGAAAAAGAAAACATGAAGGTGCAGAGACAAATTACAGTGGGAACATAGAATATGAGAAGCATGATCATGAGAAAGCTCAACAGAGAAAGATTAAATTATTAATCTATTATGAATTGGCATCTTAGGCCAATTGGAATGGACACTCAGGGCACACGCACACACAGACCCATTCTCACAATATATAGCAACCAGTCTCAGAACTGATAATGAAATCATTGAAGTAGTTGACAGTTTCTACATTTTAGGATTAACTATCAAGGCTAAAAGATACAGCATCCCAAAAAATATTTGAACCTGGTAGACAGCAATGAAGATCTTGGAAATGATATGCTCCTGCTAAGATGTATTTGCACCTACAAACATTAGAATTGTTCAAATAATTTTTTTTCTTGTGATGTTCTATAGATGTTAAATTTGGACTTTGAAAGAGCCAGACAGGGATTGACATCTGTGAACTTTGGTTCTGGAGAAGGCTCTTGAGGACATCACGGATAACTAGGAAAATGAACAAATAGATCACAAATAGATCTTAATACAAAAAAGAAAAAAAAAACCAGAGTTCTCAGTTGAGATGCTAGTAACCAGGCTTAAACTAGAATAGTCTGGACACAGTATATGAAGATGTCTAAGAGTTGACACATATTTGATGGTACATAATCATCCATTTTATACATTTCTTTTATTTCATTTATGCTGTCTCTTCACCAGCTTCTGTAATAGTGTTGTCTTATCTTTCCACAGGCTCATAACATATAGCCATTGATGAAGAATGGTATTGGAGGTCAATATAATCAGCAACTGTTGATGTTCTACAAGGAAGCAAGGGAATTGTTTTTGACTCTTGAAACCCTGTGGCCTCACTGCTGGGTGTTAATCCCACTGTTCCCTTCAAGTAAATAGAAAAGAGGAGCAAGACCTGCTACCATGGGCCTCCTCTGTCTGAGGAGTGAGATAAATTTAGCCCATGTGGAAAGGGAACAAATAAAATATATGGAGCTCTTTCAAAGTAATCTGCCCCAAGACTCCTCTAAATTTAAAGCCTACAGTACTTCCTTTGACATGGAAAGTTTCTTCAGAGGTTCTTGCCTCAATTTTTTATTTGCTTTACATCTTCAACCTTAATTTTCCACCCTACAGATTTCCTTTTTCTCAGTGATTTGTCCCCCTGTAGAATGAAGTTAATAGTATTTAATCAGAAGTAAGTTCTATATATTCTATAACAAGGGACTTTAATTCAGAGTGACGTGATCTGTTAGTTCCAAAACTTCTAATTGAAATAGAAGTCTTTGAGAATGATTGTTCAATTTCTTACTGTGAGTTATTTTTCTATATATAGAGGGAGTTACCGTCCTACACTCAAATATTTATTATAAGTCTTATTATTGTTCTTTTCCCCCAGTTCCATGGTACATAAATCTTATAGCATGAAGGTTCAAAAGACTAATTTCCCATTTATTTACATTGTAGGAGGCTCAAGCTTTTTGACAGAGCATAACCTGTTACCCTAATCATTATTCTATTCAAATCAAAATGTTATATTTACTCCCCTCCTTGCAAACATTTTAAACCTTCCAGGGGAAGAAAAAGTTATCAGTATGCAGGTTTTAGCTTCTGCTGCTAATTCCATCAGGGGCAGCACCCTGGGGAAACCTTCAGTTTTCAGACTGTCTCAGCCTGTTCAGGCATATCATCCAATAGCTGATCCAGGAGGCTGGTTCCACGAGCAATGGTGAGGGAGGGAGCAACTGAGAAAGTAAACACTATTTCATTTCAGATCGGTAGTCTGTAGTCTCCTGTTTTCCCAAAGATGATGGAAATCTGTGTTTTATTTTTAGGATAAAACGGAGAAATGTGTTCTGACCTAAGCTTCCTGAGACAGTAAAAAACACATAATTAGTCCCAAAAAACCCTCTTTTTATTTCAACAGTTGTGAAATAAGTTAATTCCCAGCCCGTAATGAGTCACAAATAGTTTATAAAGAGTTCGACAGAAGTCTGCCACAGTCCTTCGGGATAAGGCTGATAAGCACCCACCTTTATCTCCCTTGACACGCTGCCAAGACCTAATTGGCAATTAGCTTTGCAAGGCCACACAGAGCACAGAGTCAAAACGGAGCTGCAGAGTTTAAACTGATCAGAATGAACTAAGTTGCTTCCTGCAAAGGCACTCCTTCTTTATGTCTTATGGGAGGAGCCAATCATCTCCAAACTGTACTACTGAGTCGTCACTTTTATTTTAACTGTTCTTGCCTTCTGGCAGCTCTGCACATGCGTGCACTGGGAACAGGCTCCCTCTGTTCCTCTGCCTCGCTGATGTCCAACTCTGGAGGCTCCGGAGTCAGCACATAAGTCCCAGATGGCCCTGGCTCCATCTCTGCCTCCAACGCAGAGCCCTCGTCCGAGCCTTCCCCAGACTCCAGGACTGGCCCATGTTCCTCCCCAGCCTCCTCACTGTTCAACTCTGCTTCCAGCTCCGCAGGCCGCTGGCAGACCACAATGAATGTTATTGAGTTCCTCCTCTCTCCTTATTCCCCTTTTATTGTGTTGAAAGCCTTTGATAATTTTAGGATTTAAGGAAGCTCTTTGAGATAGGGACTTATGCCAATTAGAAAAAAAATATATTCTGAGCTGGTTTTGGTAGAGTTTGTTTTGCAGTATCGGAGCCGGTCTATTCCAATCTATATCAGTTTGAGGTCCATTGTTTTTAACCACAAAAGATCACAATGGATTTAAATCGTTTGGAAAAACTTGTATCCAACTCTGTTCCTTTGCTACAAGTGGATGTGTTCTCCTATCTGTATGTAGCAGTTGTGTCACATCAGGGCAAAGCCTCATTGAGTTCTGCATTCAGTTTTCATAGTGGATCACTGGATGCCTAAGGGAAGGGAACATATAAATCATAAACCTAGTAGCCCCCGCTTGTTTGTATGCCTCAGAAGCTGATATACAGACACAGAGAAATTGTCTAGAATGTATAATGGGGCTTCGAAGTTATGTTGGGAATGTGAACAAGAAGAGACATTTTATCATGTTTAAAATGTTGATACCAAATGTGTAAAAAAGTTAGAAATTTTTTGATTCAAATAAATACACTGATTCAGAAGATATTAGTCGTGGAACTTTGTTTTATATTTGATAACTGCAGCAAGATTATTGTATTCCAACAAAGATGGAAAGATTTGGCATTATTCCAGTAGTGGATTTCCAGTAATGCATGTGCAGAGATGTCCGGGCAGGTGGGTGGAGCCTCCCGCTGCTGCCACTACTGATTCGCCCAATTTGGGGCGAACTGGTAGCAACCCACCACTGCATTATTCACAATGGAGGAACGGTTGGTGAAAACGATAGAACTTGCTAAATTAACTTCTTTGGTCAAAAAAAAATTATGTATATTGCTGATTGGAGAATTTTTTGGGTAAAAGAAAATAATCCACTTCTGATTTCTGATTTTGATTTTAGACTGGATAGATTATAAAAAGAATCTATGGACAGAGTAAGAAGAAAATTCAGAGTTATAATTGCTGTAAAGAAGATTAAAAGCCATTTCTTTGTATCATATTTCTCTTTTCTTTTGTCTTTTACATTTTTCCTTTATTGCACCTTTAGCATTTTCTTTCTTTCTTTCTTTTTTCTTATTTACATGACCTTTTATTAGTGTCTGTCTGTCTGTCTATTTATCATCTATCATCTACTGGTATCTATATTTTCCATAAAAAATATATGCATATGTATTTTTAAGAAGCTGGCAGTATACAGAGGCCTCATGAAAGAAAGTCATCATGACCAGTAGTCCTTGGTAATTATGTCCTTTATGAATTTGTTTCTGAAGCTCTATATCTTTGCAATATTTAATAAATCCAATGGTAGTAAATTCAGTTCTTTTTTTTAAAAAAAAAAAATCTTCCCATTCAGCTTCACTGCAGGACGTAAGTCTTAGTATTACAAGAAAATCAGAAAGGTTTTATGCAAAGTGAAGAGAAGGAGCTAAATTTCTCTATTTACTGTTTTACCCTTTGCATTTTTTAAAAATAAATTGCTATTATGCTGCTCTTTCATCAACTTTTTTTGACACCAGTTCTGTTTCTATAAAATACTTTTGGAGAGAATGTGGCTCAACAGTAATGTACTTTAATATAATTCTGTATACTCATTTTATAATATTGGTAATTTATTTTTAGACTTTTTTTTCAGGAGTTATATTTCTGATTTAAACAGTCATTGAGTTATATGCTACAACTCCAAGATCTCTTTACTGATCAACATCATCATTATTATCATTATCATTATTATCATTATCATTATCATTATTATTATTATTATTATTATTATTATTATTATTATTATTATTATTATTATTATTTAAATTTGTATACCGCCCTACTCCCGAAGGACTCAGGATGGTGAACAGCCATAAAATAAAACATACAGATACAAAATTTAAAATAGAGATAAAACAAATTAAATAAATTTGGCTGAACTATTTTAAAACCCCATGAAAACCTCATGAAGTTGGATCCCATTAACCCATAACTGAAGTTAGGATTTTTTTTTTAATCAGATGTACTTAAATTTATATACGGTATGTTAACATTGACCCTCACTTGTTATTTTATAAATTCCATGGACTGGGGAACTCTTCAGGATTATTTCACTGTCTTTTATTTTTTAACTGCTGCAACTAACATGGTTCATCAACAAACATGAGCTCTTCACTGCAGACACTGATTGTATGACTTAAGCCCAACAGTTGGACTTTTGTGAAAGGGACACATGGAGCTTCTATTAAATGTCCTTTCAAAGCATTTAAGCTGATTTTGCAAGATCCCATCCTCTTAGTTTCACATTGATATCTTCAGCAGAGAAATCAATGTAGGTGCTTCCTTGGTATTGGGCAATTAGCTATAACATCACATTTAAGTGTGATGTTTAATAATATATAAGATGTTAAAAATATCTCCCTATCCAAATTTTCCACAGGAGGCATTCTTTTGTATGTCTCTATCCTGTCCTTTAACATACCTTTAATGCCTGTTATCCTGTAAGAGTGCAGCCACCTCCTCTATAGTGTAATTATGTTTGTTTGGAGAGAGCGCTAGGTTAGTCTGCCAGATGTGTACACAAGTTTAAAGTAAGGGAAGAAATTAGCTTTACAAAGGCTAGTTTGCTTCTTGCAGTGTTTGTCTGACAAATATTGACATGCACTAACCCCCTGAATCCAAGGCTATGAATACTTGAACTACATTGCTCTTGGAACACAGTTCATTTTTTTGTATTCACTGGACCACAACAAACCAGATTAGATGTAGCAATAATAGAGATGTGTGTCAGAACAGGGTCATTGCTGATTCGATATGAACTCTATGACAGTGAAGGAGATTTTTAAAATACAACGTGAGGAGTTGGAGAGGCAAGCAGTGTGGTAAAAGTATAAAAGAAAAATCAGCTGTTTTCTCCAAACATCCCCTTGCAATAGTTGAATTTATAGTTCAACAATTTGCCTCTTCCTATAAGTATTATGTTTTATTCCCTTTCATGAAACAAAACATGAAATAGCTTAGCACTAGGGACCAATTTAAATACACATTTGATGGAGTCCAACAAGATCCATCAGTGTATGTATAAGCCATTATATCATTTACAGGAGAGCATGTTAAAGGGTGTTGCAATTGTCAGCCCCATTAGATAGGCCAGACCAGGAAATCCACTCCACATGAAAATTAAAACTGCTTTTATTGAGATTATTTGAAGCAGAATTTTACAAGTCTGATTGTCCTCCTCCTCCTCCTCCTCCTCCTCCTCCTCCTCCTCCTCCTCCTCTTCAATGACTTAGGGAGGAATCTATCCGAGTAAATGTTATCTCGTTGTGAACTTAAAAATGTTTCAGCCCTTTTTTCCTAACAGTTCCTGCCTACCTTCTTGCTTAGTCTTTCCAGTAATAAGTCTGCTTGCTGGTTAAGTATATCTCCAAGGAGTAGTAATATTAAATGTATATAAAGCTGTATGCAAAGATGCAGGAAATGAAATTAAAATTGGTTTGTCCTGATCTCATCTGGGATGCTTTAGAATGCAGACCTGACAGATAATTCTGATAATTCGGGCCTGGCCTAATTTTCTCCCTCTTTTTAAACATATTTAATTTTTAATTTTTTAGTATTTTTAATATTTAAAGTTAAATTTGTTTTAAATTGATTGGGGTTTTAAATTTGTCTGGGCCAAACTATTTAATTCAATTTTATCTCTGCTTTTTAAATTTTGTATGTATGTATTTTATTGTTGGCTGTTTACTGCCCTGAGTCCTTCGGGAGTAGGGCGGTATACAAATCAAATAAAATGAAATGAAATAAAATGAAATGAAATTTAATGATCAAGTGTGGCCCTTGGCCAGAAAAATAGGGCATCTCTATTTTAACCCTTTTCTGCATTTGCAGTAAATACCATGCAGCTGGACTATTGCAGGGAGCTCTATTTATGGGTACTCTTGAAGCCCATCTTGAAAAAACCAAAAACCCAAGCTCAGAGAGCACCAAAGACCCCTCATGAGTGACACTTGCTGTCATGAATATATTATACCTCCACTGGCTCCCAATTAGCTTTCGAGTACTAGATGCCTCTGTGGTTTGGCCCCCAACTTCAAGACAGCCTTTGCCAAGTACAACTGCCCTGCCTGATTGTTTGTCCTAGGAGAAATTGAAGGTTGCTCCCTATTTTTATGGGGTGCACGCTAGAAGCTCATAGGTGCTATTTTCCTATGGATGCACCTATACTGTGGGATAGCCTTCTGCTTGGATTGAAATTGACCTCTAAAATTAGCTTTATCTTCCAGAAACTATTGATGTCTAGGATGGATGACTGATTTTATAACAACACATTTTTTCATTTTTAAAATGTTTCATTAACTATAAAACACAGAGAGACTTGGGATTATAGGAAGTAGTAAATCCACTAAATATATAACCAAAAGAAACAAATGTATTTTGCTGAAATGTGTATCATGCAAAACTATATTAACATTTATCTGCTTGGGTATAAAGCTTCTGCCCACTCAACTATTGGACTTGGAGAGAAAGATTCCATCAAAAAGTATACTTTATTTTGTTTAGATGACATTGTCATTGGTGACACTGATTGTTGTTGTCCTTTGTCCTTCTACTGCAGAACATCTTGTTATCTTCTTTACACATCCCCACACTTTTTCCCCAAAGGCTTTCCAAGAATAAATTGCTCAACTCTTGAGCAGATAATCCTACTTCTGAGTAGCGGAGAACCAATGCTCCTGAAAAGAATGCATGTTGGTGATAAGGGTGTGATTGCACTCCATCATAGTCACATTTTCACTTCTGTGATTGGGCACAGCTGTGACTTGCCTGTAATTACTTGCCTGCAGTTCAGACAAAGTTCTTCAATGAAAAGCCAGTTTTTCAGTTCAGGTGGCTGTATTGTGCTATAATTCATACAATTTGGAGACTATGCATGTTTGTTATAAAGATAAGCGTCTTTTTCACTCAGCTTCCTAACAATTAGGTAGATTTTTCAAAGGACATGATCTAGATCAGGGTTATCAAATTCAAGGGTGTTTAGATCTGGCCCGTGGGGCCACCCTGTAAACAGCAAAGAACTGGCCCATGGCAGCCCTCCCAAGCTCCATTTTTACTGGCAGAGGGTTGTAGGAGGTCATTGCAGCCAAAAACGGAGCTCACCCTCCCAAGCTTCATTTTTTCTGGCAGAGGGTTGCAGGAAGTCATCACAGCTGAAAATGGAGCTTGGGAGCCTGTTTTCACTAGCAGAGCGCTTGGGCCCCTACAGGCGGCCCTGACACGAGTGACACTGAGCTGGCCATGCCCACCCTGGCCACACCCACCCTGGCTCCCTGAGGTCAAACATAACCTTGACACGGCCCTCAATAAAATCAAGTTTGACACCCCTGATCTAGATGTCCCAAACAGTCTGTTAGGTAGCCTCATTGAGAGAGAGAAACATGACAGTATATTAATTACAGATGAATTTGGCTTGTTACTCCAAAGAATTTGACAAAATGCTAAGCTAGAATCTTGGTCAGACAGAAGAGTGTTTGCATAAGATCCATCTGATTATCAAGAAAAAGAAATAGTTGCCATTATTAATGTGTTGCTCCCATCTCTGTTGAAAAGATTACAATATAAATGATACTGATTTTGCTGTTCTATTCCCGTAAGGACATAACTTTTTAGCACAGCAAATCTTCTTAAATCTGTCACTGAGAATGGCTGAAGCTAAAATATTGAAGTGATAGTTGTGACATTTAGATATAATAAATTGATCAAAGTACTGTATGCAGCTGGTTGGAGCTTACTCAGCTCCAACTCTTTAATGCAGCATATTTGGATATTCTGCTATGTTCAATATTGAATTCCATATCCAAGATCTTTATCAGACTGTGTACATGTCAGCCTTTTGGGGTAAACTGTCAGGAAACAGCATAATGCTTTCAGGAAGACTACTTTATTGTTGTTTGGTTTAATAACCGAATCTTTTCCTCTGCCTGCTCTTATACAACAAAGCTTCAAAGCAGGGTTATTTTGAGAGGGCTTTTGGGTGACATGCCTTCTCCTTTCCTAAAACTGAGTTGTCTCTTATTTTGCCTTTTTCAAGATTATTTCTGAGTTCCTCTATGGTATTAGACTTCTCATAATTCATGATCAGCAGTACCACCAGTGGATTAACATGTCTAAGAGGACTGATCGTGATTAAACTAGGTTAAAGAGTCCATTGAGAGCAGAAGGTGATATGCAGTAGCCCAATGCAGACTTTTCTTCATTAAGATTGGATGGCCTCATATATGATAAAATTGATGCACTTTTCAGCAAAAATATCAGGCATTGATTTTGCTAATAATGTATTAATAGACTGGTGAGTATTAGATGGGTTATTCTTCATGCTTTTCTTCAATATGGGAACCTGTAACAGCCAGACCCCAATTTTAGGAATTCAGGTAGAAAGTGCAAACTGAAGTCGGTATTGGCATTCATCAATCTATGTAACTTTTAATCAGCTCAGGGAAATAGAATTGTAGCCAAGTGACTTTCCCTATCTTAAATGGTTGTTCAATTTACACGTTTTAAACTGAGATAAACAGGGAATCCATATCTATCTCCCTTCGGGATCAACCCCCCCCCCCCATTGGTTCCCTAGCCTAACCTTACTCTAGGAAGCTGAACTTTTCAGAGAAGCAAAAATCGAACAGATTTCGGGAAAGTATCTTTAAAGCTAATCTGCATTAAAAGCATAATTTTGACAATTGCAACAAAATAAAATCCCAGCCAGATGCAGTAGTGAGTTCATTAAGGCAGAGTTTTCTGAATGCTTTCTTCTCATGCCATTTACATCTGCATTGTGTTGCCTCTTCTCATCTCATCTACACTTTGTCGCTTTCTTTCCCATAGTCTCCCATATAAAGATTCCAAGATTCCTGCAAAGTTTGGCTTCTCCTTGAACTCACAAACACTATTCAATTAAAATGCCCACCTTGAGCAGAAACCAGGACTTATAGTTATCTAAGTAGTACTTCAAACTCCGTTTCCGAAATAATAGGGCTTTTTTTTTTGTTGTTGTAAATTTCCGTTCCATATTTTGAATGCTGTGACAAAGGCTCACCTTTGAATTTAGTAACACAATCATTGAATTCTGGCTATGTTACTTAAAAAAAACCCTGGATAATTTATACTTATATGCCTTCTAGATTCATGCAAGAGCTGCCAAGACTATTCTTGTTTACTTCTTCTTGGTCCTGACATCTGTACCCCTTATTTCATATTGAAACAGAACCAACAAATGGAATGGGACAAGCAAATGCTCCAAATAACATTGACAAAAATGTGAAATGAAGCAGCAAAATGTATTTTGGTGAAGCCCAGGATTTGTTTGTGGGGAATATCATCACTATGTTGATGACTTTCAGCCTTGTTCTTCTTTTTCAAATAATGAATCCCAGGGATAATGTGGAATTTTAGAAGTGATTAGAAGTAAGAAGTTGACATTCTATGTTGGAAAGTTAACCTGGATGTATGTCTTTCTATTCATGTTCTTGGATATTCATTTCAAAAGACTTATGTTTCTATTGAGGGGGCGGGGATTTGTCTTTTTAGACTTGCTGTTATCTAAGAAAATACAGATAATCTATTGGTCAGGGCTGCTTCCTATATTCTCAAATACAACAGTTATTGCTTGTGGAGAAAGAGATTATTGATCAGGAAGAGGACAACAACATACATAAAACTGAAGCAACTCCCCAGTGGCATAGCTTATCATATTAAATATGTTTAGCTTTGCAAGAAGACTTTTTTTTCCGAAAGGGACCTGATGTTAATTGAATTCTCTCCCAAACTATATATTTGGACTTTTTGTTAACAAGGGTTTTACTAGCCCTTTGTGAATGTGATATTAAAGAATCGTTCTTTTGTTTGTTTCGGTCTGTTTTTAATCTAGATGCTCAATTGAATGAATAAATGTTGCTGCTTTTTACTTTCATCTTGAATATATGGAAGAGATGCTATTTCTGTCAACAACTCAGTAGGTGGTCACAGAGAAACAATGTTCTTTCATGATTTGCTTTATGAGAATCATCATGTCGATTTGCTTTACAGGGTTGTTGTCAAGTTGCCTGAGAGGATGTGTGTGAAGAGCTTTGAGCGCTCAACAACCATGTAAATGTCAGCTCTTTTTTCTTTGTAAGGGAGCTGCATGGGACCAGAGAAATGGCATGACTGTATAGCGGAGTATATGTTAGTGCAACACACCACCCCTTGTCAGGTTACCAATCGGAGTCCGGCAGAATTACTGATGGGTCGCTGGCTGCATACAATTTTGGATAGGTTACACCCCCGTTACGCCCCTGCCAAGCCTTTGGATTCAAGTAGGACATCTAAACCTTTTGGTGTGGGTGATAAAGTGTACACCAGGAATTATGGGGGTCAGCCATTATGGTTACCAGGGAAGGTGGTGGATATTACAGGTCCATGCTCATATAAGGTTGATATGGGACAAGGCAAGGTTTGGAGACGTCACCAAGACCAGCTACGGGTCAGATGGGGTACTGAACACGATATAACAGAAAGAGAGAACCAGGCAGGAGAAAGTTTCAGACAGGGGTTAAGGGGCACACCAGAAGCTGAGAAGCTACCAGATGCTGAGCAGCAGATTTTGAGCCGACAGATTACTTCGGACAAGACAAACCCCGAGGGAGAAATTGAAACACAGGTCGAAAGCAGTAACGTACCTGTAGTTATTAGAACTGCTGGGGAAAGTAATTCCTCGCAAGAGTCTGTGAGTGAGGCAGGGTTAAGACGTTCGATCAGAAGCCGGCACCGACCAGCATACCTCCAGGACTACACATGCGCCATCCAGGTGGAAAGGGGTGCAATATATTAAGTCTGCTGAAGTAGGAAGTAACATTCTGTTCGTTGATTGGTTAAAATAACGTTCTGTTCATTGATTGGTTAAGCCGCCTGACAGCTGGCTAGGTAAGAGCTGTCAGGCAGAGTTCCAAGCAGTTTCAGTTATAGCTGTGGCAGTTAGCACAGCTGTTGTTAATAAACGGTTAATTACATGATCTTCGCATTGTCCATCATCATTGATCAAGCCAATACATTTCAATGCTTGCTCAGATTGGAAAGAAAATGGCATGGGTGTAATTGGGAGCAGGCTTGAAGAAGGTAGAGAGAGGAATAAGAGTTCTGGGTGACTTACAATGACTGTTACGTGAACAGGAATCTCTCTCTTGGTGGAAAGGGGACATACTGTAACTGTGGAGTTCCATCCAGAACCTGCTCTAAATTTTATTTATAGGAATTTACTATCAATTATTTATGATCTGTAGTAATGACTAGAGTACTTTTCAAAGGATACTAAAATAGTGAAGTCTAATCCAGTCTGTTTGTATATTTTAGCATAGTGTGGTGCTAATGCAATTCAGAGTACACTTTTCATGGTGTTACATTGAACTGTCTCCATTAGTTTGTTCAGTGTTAAAAATGAAACCTTACCTTTAGAGTTTTAAAGTTGCTCATTTGGAGGAGAGCAGCAATGAAATTTAAATCAAGAGCCATTCAATCCTGGGATCCAATCAACTGTTTCCATACCAAGACATCCTTTCTTGAAGCAGAACCTGAAGACTGTGCCTCACTTCCTTTGACACCACAAAGAGAGTTTATCTGAGCTAGTTTGATTTGCTTGTAATGTTTGCAAGCAGTGGTGGGATTCAGCCAGTTCGGACTGGTTCAGGCGAACCGGTAGGAGCGACCTGCTGGTGCCCCCCCACCGGGCTATGCCATCCTATTTATCCATGTGTTCTAAGCCGTGCAGATGTGTGCAAGCCACGTGCGCAAGCAAAGCACATGTGCGGAAGGCTGTGTGCATGCGCGGAAGGTGCACGGTCACATTTTCGGTGCTGGGAGAACCGGTGGTTAAATTATATGAAGCTCACCTCGGCTTGCAAGCAACAGATACGAATCCTCCCTTTAATAAAGCAAAGTGGTTTCCCTCTCTTGCTGCTATAGGTATTTTTTGTGTGCATGTCTGGGTTCAAATGGAGTCTCCTATGTTCCAGAGGCTTTTCCCATTCTTAAATCCCACTTTAACAGCAAGTGAAAAGAAGGGCTGCTTCACGCAAAAATGCATGTGGAGGGAAGTGTGGGATTAATCAGAGAAGATTTGTTCATATAAACCTTTATGAAAAAAGTGGAGCGGAGGCTTTGCAGGCACATGTAAATGGAATGGCAAGATTAGCTTTGGGCTTTTCTTGACAAGGGCTCATATTAAGAAAAAAGCTGCCATCTCTGTGTAAATAGAGAAGAGATGAATGTGATATTAAAGAATGGTTTTTTTTACTAGAGACAGTGATGCTATCTGATTAGAGAGTAGGGGAAATGGAGAAGCCATTTATTGGAATAATAATAATAATAATAATTTCATCAACAAGATAGGCGTCCAAATGGGTTCATTTGGAAATTCCAACTGTTTGGACCATCGGTTTTCTACCCAATTTTTAAAAATATGCTTCATCTCCTGTTTTCAAATTTTAGGAACAACATTGCCAGTGAGACAATGTAAATGAGATAAACATCTTAAAGTTATTAAAAGTGTTGGTTAATTGGCTAAATTATCATGGGATGGATTCGCTGAACAGATGGATGCTCAGCACGTGTATTTTTTCTATATAATAAATTCATTGTGCCTTTTCTTTTTGGAGCCAGGCTGGAATTGGGTTTTCTTCTACAAATGAGTAGTGGAACAGCTCTTTTGTGTAATCCATGGAAAAGGCCCAAGGTTATAACATTTACTGACTTTTTATATCTACTGGATTGGCTGCCTGACATTCATTTAATCTGTAATCTCACAATAGTTTTTCATAATGAGGCTAAAAATGTAAATGATGTTTCAATAGCCATGGCTGAGCAGATAAGAGAAATATCAAAATAACGTGCCTCAACAAATTTGTCTGTTCAGCTGCATCCCCATTGTCCAATATGTAACATCTGTTCTCATTCCAAGAGAGCTGAGATTTGATGTTTTCCCAGTGTGATACACGTGTCAACAGATCGCCTGGATTCTGTTATCTTCACTGCACTGAGTATAGAATTAAATGAGCTAATAGCTTTCTTAAGAAGTTATTTTGGACTATATTAGCATTGGCTTGAAGTTCCAACTTTCAGAATCACAGAGCAGCTGATGCGGAGTGCTCTGTTTTCTTTGCAGAGCACTTTAATTGTTGAATGGACCAAATTGATTTCATATTGCCTAGTGAATCTGAGAAATAGCATTGGCACTGCATCCTGTATTCATCATATTATCAGAGCTACTTTCAAGTGTCTCAGCCCAGCTGTCATTCCTCGAGGAATATTATCTTAGAGAAAATAATGGATTGAATCACTCTAAGATCTACTATTTTTCTATAAGTATTTTAGAACTAGAGGCAGGCTTCCTTCCTTCCTTCCTTCCTTCCTTCCTTCCTTCCTTCCTTCCTTCCTTCCTTCCTTCCTTCCTTCCTTCCTTCCTTCCTTCCTGATGTTTTTACTATATCCGATGGTAAGTTTCTAGCAGGACCAAAGACTATGAAAAAATAGATAATAAAAACGTTGCTTTATGTAATATAAGGTGAAGGGATTGTTTTAATATGCTGGAGTTTTTTAAATTAAAATTTAGAACAACAAATTATCACTTCATGTTTCTCTTTGTCTTATTTTCTATTTTGCCCAAACCTGTTTTCCATTATATAGATCTTGTTCACTTATGATATTGAATGTAGAGAAACATGAGCAAGATTGTTTCTTCTGAGATGCTATATTCATTTATAATAGACATGGACGGGTGCTACATGGTATTCATCTACGTGTGGGATGATTAAGAACAGAGGTTGTGCTTGCATTCCTGCTTTTCCTGAAGGACATTCAATGTCACACGTGAATGAAGCTAGCACCAAAGGTTATGGTTACTAAAAATTTGTTTGTGTTTATCCACATACATATACATTAGCATGTGCACGTATATACAACCATGTACAATATGGTGTGGTACAATGTGCTAGCGTATGAAGCCATTTTGAGTTGAGTTGAGTTTATTTATTATCTGGTTTTTATTATTTTTATAAATAATTCAAGGTGGGGAACATACCTAATACTCCTTCTTCCCATGTGACTGTTTGATGTAGACTTTTAGGAACACGTATGTACTTCAGCTGGCCTGTAGAAATTGAGACAACAAAGAAGGGAACTATTCTGGTTTAGCATTAAAACTGTATTATCAAAGGAGCAACAGCACAAGGTTTTTGGTTTCAGAGTGTTAATCATAAATGCTAATTAAACACATCCTAAATGAAATATTAAAATAGGAAATCTGAGAAGGTGAGGAAAAGACCGCAAAGGAGAGGAAGATACTTTTTAAAAAAATATCACACATAAGGCTTTTTGGAGAACAGATAACTCTTCCTCAAACGTTTTCTTTACAAGAACAATTACTTAATTTTACAGGAGATGGTGAATAATTTAGAAGAACCTGTCCAGTTTGAGCCCTTTTGTTTTCCTACTCTGAAGACTTTATGAGTAAAGGAATTACAGGGATTCAGAATTAGAAATTTTAGAGGACATCATTCCCCTCCTTGCTATGTTCACAGCCACATGCATGCATGCAAAAACCTAGTTCTCCTATGGGTTCCTGATACTTAAAAAAAATGGTCTCAAGAAGGTCAGTGATCTATAAATATGGGGGGGGGGACGGAATAGCAAACTTTCCTTTACATGCTTTAGGACAATGTTTCTCAACTTTGGCAACTTGAAGATGTGTGGACTTAAGATTGTATGATAAAATGGACACAAAATATTGAGGAACCAATAATGATGGAAACGTGGGAAAAAATATGGGTTAGAAATGTAAAATTTACGCAAGCTCAAAATATGAGAGAAAATTTTTATAAAATGTTTTATAGATGGCACTTAGATCCTAAAAAGTTAGCTTGTATGTATCCAAGTTTACAATCTAAATTGGAGATGTGAGTGTGATAAAGCCACGTATTATCATATATGATGGACATGTAAAAAAATCAAAGCATTCTGGATAAAAATATGGTGGATTATGTAAAACATTCTTTAAAAAAAGATAAAGTTTACTCCACAGCTGTTTTTGCTGGGTATAATTACAGATTGTACGGTTATAGAGACTAATTTGATTTTAAATTTAATAACTGAGCCTTGGTAGTACAGTGGTTTAAAGCACCCTGTTATTGACATAGCTGCCTGCAATTGGGGCAATAAGCTGACTTTGTATAAATATACAAAAGTATGAAGGCTATTGCTTAACGCATTGTAAGCCGTCCTGAGTCTCCAGAGAAGGGCGGCATATAAATCAAATTAAACAAACAAACAAACAAAAAAACCGCAGCAAGACTTTTGGTGGCGCAGTATTGGAAGAAGGAAGATTTGCCTACTATTGAAGAATGGACACTAAAAGTAATGAACTTAGCAGAGATGGCCAAAATCTCAGCGTATTTGAAGGACCATTCAAATGAAAGATATATTTTGGAATGGAGAAGATGGATTGACTATATTCAAAACAAATATGGGATTAAAAAGTTTCAAATATTTTATGAATGAATAAAGAGTCTTTAGAAAGTATTTAAATTTAGTCATGTAAAAGGGGAGTTAAAAGTACAAGAGGGAGATAGGAGTCTATAGATAGTTAGCATATGTTAGCATATGATTGTTAAATGCTATACCCTATATTTTGCTCTGGGAAGTCGGGGGGGGGAGGGTTGGGGAGGGAAGGGGGAGGGGTGATGGGAAAACAATTGTAAAAATTTTTAAAACTTTTTAATATATATATAAAAAAAAAGATGTGTGGACTTCAGCTTCCAGAATTCCCCAGCCAGCAAGTGGAACCTCAAATGTGATAATAATAATAATA